AAAAAAAAAAAAGAGTGCTCTGGCCTCAAGGATCAAGAGTTCTAAGGCTGAGATACCCGGATGAAAGGACTAATCTATGCTGGATACTAAAACTACTCAAACATACTCAAGCCTCCCAGAGTCAAATCAAGGACACAATTATAACACAACGTAGTGAATGAAGTGTCACAGCTGCGTGCAATGTGTTATGGAAACACCTAGTCCAGCCTGGAGGACCCAGGGAGGTAGTCAGGGAAGGCTTCCTATAAGAGCTGAAACTTCAAGAGTTCCGTTGCTTCTGCAGCCCCACACTAGGGACATTTGCAATACAATAGGGTCCCTCAGTGCCTTATTCCATAGGCAGGACAGAGAGAGGAGGCTTCTTGAGAGAAGGAAGCCCTGTGGTCTGACTTTTCCCCTGGGGAAACCCCGTGCCTTGCCCCATCTTTGACCTTTCCCATTGATTGCCTCCTAGAATCGATAAGAAAATGTCTGATGCTCAGGGCAGCTACAAACTGGATGAAGCTCAGGCTGTCTTGAGAGAAACGAAAGCCATCAAAAAGGCCATCACCTGTGGAGAGAAGGAAAAGCAAGATCTCATTAAGGTAAAAGAGTTCCCAGGACGTGGGCTCCATTTCCATTTCTCTTGGGCACCTTTCTGTGCCAGGCAGTTTGGAGCGCCGAGTCCTAAATCACGTGGACCAGGAAACCCTGGCTCTGTCAGTTGCCAGCTTCTCCATGTATCAGCTCCCTCGTGGGTAAAGGGCATAATCATGGGTCACTCTGGCAGGGCTGTGGTCAAGCTCGCAGTTACGGAGCATGGACCATATTAGCACTCGACTCTGCTCTTCTTGTTTAATCAGCACAATAGCCCTATGAGATAGGATCTGTGATTATTCCCATTTTTGGGAGAAGAAACTGAGGCCTGGACAGGTTAATCAACTAGCTCAGATCACACAGCTAGGAAGTAGCAGAGCAAGGGTTCTAACTCAGGCAGTGTGGCTCCAGAGCCAGCATCCACACCAGTCTCTCCCAAGTAAGGGGCCTGGCACAGTGCTTGGCACCTGGCAAGTACCCACTCACTGCTGGTTCTTAATAAGACAAGTAGGATGTCTGGGTGAGCATGGCTTCCCACGGAGTTACTAAAGGTGGAGAGAAAGGCCCAGAGCTCCCTCCCAGGAAGGTGTGTCACTGACCCCACCCTCCCCGCTTCAGAGCCTTGCGATGCTGAAGGACGGCTTCCGGACCGACAGAGGGTCCCACTCTGACCTGTGGTCCAGCAGCAGCTCTCTGGAGAGTTCGGGCTTCCCGCTGCCGAAACAGTACCTGGACGTGAGCTCCCAGACAGACATCTCGGGAAGTGTGAGTAGCAGTACCCGTTGCTCGGGGCCTCACGAGGAACAGCCTCCTGAAGGCTGCTGTGATGGGTGGCCACCTCCTCGTTAATCACCTAGGGACCTGGTGGTGGCTCTCTGTGGGCTGGCTGCGGACGCAGCCTGTGGAGCTTCGTTCTCTTGCAGAACTCCTGGCCCCATAGAGTCAGGAGATGATGGTGTGAGAAAAAGCCGCCAATGACTCCACGTCCTCACTGTCACTTGGCCACGTGCTTGTGTCTAGATGCTGCACAGAAAGTGTTTTTGAAGGACCAAGTGTCCTCATACTATTTCGCAGAACCATTCTGTTTTTCTCTCGCCAGCTGGAAAACTGGATGTTTTCCTCCTGCTGGTCCACAAACACTGCGTGCAGCTTGCAGACAGCTGCTTGACTCCCAGTTCCAAAGGTTGGTCTGGTCACAGTGATGAATGGCACAAGTCCTGTCCAGACGTAGCTCGTGAAAGCAAAAGCAGGCTGACCCACGGCAATCCGTGGCTTCGGGGAGCTTTTGTTTCCTAGAGCAGGTGACATTGAACGAGCTCTCTGCCCAGCCTCCGTGGCTAAAATGCTGTTCCTGTCTGGTTTCTATAGCTGTGTTCCCACTTATGAAGAGAAGCTACATCCACGCTCTATTGGGTGAGCCTTGTAGCTTCTTGCTGCTCTTGACGGCAAACAGGCCTCCCCCCTCCTTCCCCCACCACCCACATGTCCAGCTACAAGCCACCTGCGCGCCGAAATATTTGAGAACAAACCATGTGCCTCCTTCCAGCTCTGGAACCTTCTCCTCGCTTACCCAGTGTTTCACTCCTGACTGCAGCCTCCCGAGTTTTTGGTTCAGCTCCTCCCCGGTGCCCGCAGAATGGCTTTTCTTGTATATTGGCTGTCCCCGTTTCCTCCTGACCAGCTGTCCTCCATGCTACTGTGGCTTGAATGGGCTCCAAGCCATTTGTGGCTGTGAGATGATATTCTGGGCCCTCAGCTTCTCTTCTGGACGTGATCGATGTCTGCATTTGGGTCTCTTCCCACGGCCTGAAGGGAGGAAAGCGTTTTGGCCTAACTAGCTTCCTCGAGATGCACACAGCCAGCTCAGTAATTGGGGGCTATTCTTAGCTCCTTCCCACGAAAGCTGTCAAGTCTCCCCTGAGCTCTTGAAATGCAACTCGGCACTGGCCACGACAGCCATATAACGCTTCTGACTTTGTTCTTCCCTCCAGTTCAGCACCAGCAGCAACAATCAGTTGGCGGAGAAGGTCAGATTGCGCCTTCGATATGAAGAGGCTAAGAGGAGGTAATTGAGGGCTGGGGGCTGGAGGCTGGGGGCGGGATGATTCTGACAATAAAACTACTGTTGTAGAGGGTCTGCTCGTGCCTGGCTTTTCATGCCTCCTCTTGCTTAATCCTACAGAGATTATGAAGATAGGGATTATAATCTTCATAGTGTAATCCTCTCTGCAACTCAGAAGAAATGACTGACCCGGAGACATTTAGCTAAAGGGTGGAGCTATGCTTTGAACCCAGATCTGTTAAACCTCAAAGCCTACTTATCTGTTCACTGGCTGGCCTCCGTTTCTATAATCAGGGTTCTCCAGTGGTCCTGTATGCAGTTTGGTTTGAAGGAACACAACTGGGGGTTTTAGCAACAGGCTGAAAAGACTGGATCCTGCCCACTGGGAGCCAGCTGTACTTTTAAACTGTGTGGACTCCTGTGTCACGGATGTTCTTTGGATTCACAGACTCCTAAGCAACTGAGCGCCACTGCCACAAATAAAATTAATACTCGACACCGACATATTTAGAGCTCTGTTATGAGCCAGACATTGTACTAAAGCATTTGCATGTGCATTATCTCATTTAATATGAAAAGCAACCTTTATAGCCTAGCTTATCATATCTTCTCCATGTTAGAGAAGAGAAAGGTAAGATATAAGATATTTCAGGATTTTTCAATATGGTGGAGTCAGAATTTGAACCTTGGGCAATCTGGCTTCAAGTCCATGATCTTTCTATACAGCAAGCCAGCCTTTCTAGGAAATAACCCACAGGGCATTGTGTTGGTGAATGAAGCCATTCATATTGCATCCATTTCTCCTTAGGCTAAGTTGCCTGGCCCATAGACCTGAGCCAGTCCAGGTAGAGTGTGGCAGTGCCCAGCCAGCTCTCTGGGAGCAGCGGAACCCTTTGCAGCAATGACAGAAATTTAATAGAAACGAGAGGAAGCAAAAAAGGGAACTTGATGACTTATCAAACTCCAAAGTCCTGGGGTAACTAGCTTCAGGCATGGCTGTATCCAGGGACTCAAATGACGTTACAAAGACTCAGTTCTCTTTCCTTTTCCCCACCTTGACCCCCAGCAATTCTAAGCTTACCTATTACCAGGCTAGCAACCCCAGTGGAAAGAGTTCCCACCTTTCCTCAAAAGTTTTAATGGGTTTGGAGTCTGAGACTCACTGGCTTTTCTGGGTGAACCAATCGTTGCAGGGTGGGGAGAATTAGAATGATCTGAAGGCCAGGCATGGGTAACATGCCCAGTTCTTGGAAGGAGACTGATGTCAGCTTTGTGGGAACCAAGTGACATGAAAATATGAGAAGTGGTTTCCCAAAGAAAATTTGAAAGATTGTGAACAAAAGAGGGAGACATCGGATACTTGTCAGGTAGGAGAAAAAATACTCCCTGGGCACTATTTCAGCTCCCCCTAGAGGTCCAGCAAAACAACAGGACCTCTGCATTTGGACAGCCACTTCTTGTGCCCTCTGAAGGGGACTCTGACCCCTGGACCTCTTCCAGCCTGTAGCAATGCCTGTCTTAGGTGATCAGTTCTGGAGAGACTAAGAGATTGGAATCTTCCCCCTGGGGTTGAGCCATTCAACTTACCACAGAGAGAAATCTCTTACAACTTTTCATCTCCTCACATCCTGGCTCATCTGCCTTTATCCAGATTCCCACCTCCCCCTGCTCCCAAAGATTCCGGCCCACAGCTCCTGTAGGTGTAAGGGACAAAGCAGCCTGCTGAGAGGGAAAGCAGAGGCTGCAGGACCTGAGGGACGCAGACCAGGTGGCTGTAGTGCAAGGTCAGGTCATTGTATGCCAAGCTTGGTCATGTGCATTTCTGGGCAGCAAGTCCAGCAGTTCATCAGATTCTCTAAAGCAGGGGTGGTTCGGAGCGTCCAACCCAAGGGCTGTATGCAGCCCCCAGAATTATCTGGTATGGCCCTGCCAAGGCCTCACCAAAGAGATGGGTTCCAGCCATCACCTTAGGGGTGAGTTAATTAAATGTTTGACCAAATCTAGCAGGTTAATTTTAAAGTTGATAATTTTTTTTGGCCCTCTGGCTCGATGTTCCTCACCCCTATCTGAAGGATCACATGCCTGCCTGCCTTTAGGTATTTGTATCAGTACTCTTAATTATACTGTGAATCTTAATTTGGTCCAGTGACGGATCATACCTAATGTCTGTTCTCACTTGGTCCTCGGAACCCACCACGCAGGTTCCATTCTTTTCCTCATCAAAGAAGTCAAGGGATAGGGGTCTCAACTCCTTCCTTAGCGTTTATGAAGTGCCTGCTGTGTTTTTTTAAGTGAAGTCTTTTTTTTATGGTTTTGTTTTTTGTGGGCTTTTTTGTTTTTATTTCAGAGAGAGGAGAGGGAGAGAGAAAAAAACGTCAGTGATGAGACAGAGTCATCCATAGGCTGCTCCTTGCACACCCCCTACGAGGGATTGAGCCCACAACCAGGCATGAGCCCTGACCGGGAATCAAACCATGACCTCCTGGTTCATAGGTCAACCCTTAACCTCTGAGCCACACTGGCTGGGCCCAAAGTGATTTCTTAACAAAAATTACCTTTCATCAAGAAGGCTAGAGCCCAAGCTCCAACTCAGGACCCCTGGCCCCAGGTCCACGGGTGATGACATGGTGCTGCCACCATGCTCTGAACGGAAACACGTTAGCAATTGTCGCCTTTGCTGTGGTTGTAGTGGGCCCGTGACTGCCACTGGTTTAGCACCTGTTGTGTACCGAACAGGTAAATACATTATACCTTACGTAATGAATACATAATTGCTCATTTTCATGACAGTTCTGAACAATGAATAATTGTTTTGTTATCTGCAAGGCTCAGCGAGTTTGCCCAGTGTCATATACCTAATAAATGGTCAAACCAGGTACTAACAACAGAGGCAGTGGAAACATTTATTGAATGTTTACTGTGTGCCACGTTCTCTGCTTTGAGAGTATGGATTGTGTCATAAAGCCTGCAACCACAATGCGAGAGGAAAGAGCTCCTGTTACTCCCTTTAGAGAGAGGATGTGACTTGCCCAAGGTCACATAGCCAGTGGTAAGCGGCTGTTGCCTGGTGATGAATCCAGCTCTCCATTCTGTTCTGCCAGGCTAGTGTGCCTCAGGGCAAGGACAGTGCCTTGTTTATGTCTCTGCCCCATCCCTGCAGAGCCTGCTCATTGTTGGCACATGGCAGGCGCTGCCTGGGTCTGTTAGATAGAAATAGGTACCCGGAGACAACACGCTGGGCAAAGGGAAGTCAGTCACTGTCAGAGATTGCTCGGAGGATGTCATGGCTCCCTGTACCTCGTAACCTTGGATGTGCCATCTGTTACCCTGCTCCGGCAGTGCCCTGGGCACACCAGTCATGCTCACCTTCTCGGCCCACAGGATCGCCAACCTGAAGATCCAGCTGGCCAAGCTGGACAGCGAGGCCTGGCCCGGAGTGCTGGACTCGGAGAGGGACCGGCTGATCCTCATCAACGAGAAGGAGGAGCTGCTGAAGGAGATGCGCTTCATCAGCCCCCGCAAGTGGACCCAGGGGGAGGTGGAGCAGCTGGAGATGGCCCGGAAGCGGCTGGAGAAGGACCTGCAGGCGGCCCGGGACACCCAGAGCAAGGCGCTGACCGAGAGGTGGGCTG